TTCTCTTGGGAAACCTACAGACTCGGGTCCTTTCACAACTTATTCCAGCCACCATGAGTTGCCACGGCTTCTGATGGATGGACACGCGTTACACATCTTAACCGTCTCTGCGTCTAATCTCATGACTCTACCGACACTAATGGAACACGAGTAACTCAAAGGCACCCTGTATGGTATCTTACATCGGTATACGCACTCACTTAGCGCTTTAGTGAGAATATTACTACAGTCCTGCTAAAAATCCCATAAACCCCCTATCTCTATAAAAAAAGTATATATTTGCTGCATATAGAAATTTTATTTTTTAAAAGTAGGATACAACAGTTAGAATTGGAGTGAAATGGCAATATACAGCAGATGCACGTGGTACATGTCGTCATCGATTAACTGAAATAAAAAATACGAATATTAGCTTAACAGGCTTATTTAGAAAGACTAGTGTCTACTCTGAAATTACTGCGTGAGAAAGTTATACTGGAACTACGAATAATGTAGGAATCTAGTCTCCCAGGGCGTACGAAGCAATCAAACTGGAATGCAGTTGTCCGAAAAAATTCGAATAAGAAAGTCAGAATTTCCAGGTATTTTTCATCGTAAGGGTGAAAATATTGATGTCATACAGTAATAAAACACAGATTTGCGAGTGGTGAAGTATGATCTATAAAAAAGTGAGCTTAATAACAGTTAATTACCTTTTTATTCCCTGATCATGACCCTTTGGCTTCCTTTTATGGCCGAAACAGAAAACATACACTACAGACTGATAGCAGATTTCCGGCTTTTCAATGTTAGTTTTCAGTCTTCAGTAATAAGGATAGTAGGTTGGTGAACCTGTATTAATCCTGACACATTGCTTTTCAGTGAAGGTCCAGCTTCTCCTTAAAAGTATTCACTGATGGGGCTGATACCACTTGTTCGGTTAAGGCTTGCTTTAACGCACTACGTAATGAGTACAACCCCTCTATTACTGCTATATGACATATTTTTAATAACAAACCCTCTTCAATATATTGGTAGTATCTGTGACTTCGTCTATGGTTATCGGAAGTCTGAGTTCTTTCGAAAACAATACTAGTATCCCATACTGCTGGGCAATCAGTATTAGTTTGACTCGTTAGCGGGATAGTGTTGACCATAATACTGAAGAAAATTACAAACCGGGGATTATTTCCTTTCATTTTGCCGATAACATCATAAAAAACGGTTAGGAACGAACATGCGGACAGTTAGAGTCACAGGAAGCAACAACAGTTATTCTAGCTAGAGAAACGAACTTCGGCTTTGGATATCTAAAAAACAAGTCAAAACAAAACCGAATAACATTTTAAAACATAAAACTAGCCAGCTTGGCTGAAGAAATACATTGGCTTGAGTAGAAGCAGCAAAAACCATAAAAACAATGCTGATTCGAAGTAAATTTCACACCAACATGTAGAACATTACACTAACTGCGGCATTTTATCAGACCGAAACATTAAATTACATAGCTACACAAAAGAAGTAACTGAAAGAAGCAGAGAACGAAGAAAGCCTACCGCCATTACTTACAAAGATGGCGGATGTATTAATTCCCGCCCCATTCTGATTGGTTGCTAGGTTGAAGGGCACATTTACGAAATTGAGTTGCGTTTAATTGCAGCCGAAACATCTTTATTTAGATGCCGTGGTTTCCGATATATCAATCCAGTGCTTAGGCTAAATTCTGAGACTCCTCTTAGGTTTCGGATGACACTTTCGTCGATGTATGTTGTATGTGACGATTGGAATGTTTGAAACCAATATCTTGCTAGTAGCTGAGTGGCATCACCACCGTTGTCCGTCGGACCATTGGGACCTAACAACTAGGAAACTTCAGCTTTGCCGATGCAAGGCTCCTTGACAAACTAGCCTTTTGGTTCAGAGACAAATCTATCGATGCTATCTATCTATCTATTTATCTATCTATCTATCTAATATTGAAGCCTGTCTTCTCTTATCGCCTTTGCGCATCTATTTATTGCTTGTATAAACTATCAGTAATTGTTGCCATTAGTTCGCTTGCAATCAGACTAGTAGGACCTATCAAGCCTCACCGTTTGAAGAGCGTATCTGCTTATGACCGCGATTTATGTGTAAATTTTGGGGATTGCATATGGGACTGATTGGTTTGTGTCAAGTAAGATAGTGTACATTATGAAATCCATGCCAAATCCACCTGCTGTACATCGAACCTTGAAGCTGACACAGACAGCTTCTTCAAATTTCAAATCTTGCTACTGTTTTAGCTTAGTTTTATCAACAAAACTGAAGGTCATGATGTCTTTTCCTCAATGGACTCGGATCTGAAAATTGTCGATTAGCATTTTTTCATCGGTGAAGATGAAGTAGGAGAGTGACAGTGTCTGACTGTTTCTCTTTTGACCTGTCATCTCTGCACGTTCTAATAGTCCTAGTTCTTGAATAATGTAAAGGTACCGAGCTTCAGTAGAATCATCTTGTCCATTTTAGTGTTTCCAGCAAAATTGACTTCTGGGTGATTGAAATCTTTTAAGATGAAGGTATGAGAGTTTTCGAGACGAACAGACAAAGTTTATCACTGCAGTATATGACTATCGACCTCGGTAGCAGTAATAGGCTTTTTGTAGATATTTTCAACCAGTTATATTGAGATATTAGACAACTTCATTGAGCACCATACAGGTTTGTCAAGATTGATAAATTCTTAAAAAATTATTTTATGCTCTTCCAGACAGGATCGTAGGTATAGGACTGCCCCATCTATCAATCCAGCGTTTCTGTTGTAACGAAACAATACATACCAGGTATTGCCACCATTTCGCTCATGGTTTGATATCTCTATGCTTCAGATATTCCTATAAAATGAGTATACGAAACGCATGTATGTCCCTGTTCTGTTTGGTTGAATGAGCCCCAGTCAAATGAACAGGAAACCTACCCAAGCAGAGTTTTCATCATACGTATTTACTGCAGCCTTAACTTATTTTTTCTGCTAATGACAGCCCACAGGTGGATCAGTCAATTCCAGTTTACTTTTGTAATTGATCTTTGTACCATGTAGTCTATCTAAGTGCAACTGGATTCCAGATGTTAACCGATGTCTGTTGGCATGAAGTGTATCAAGAGTGGCGGCCGTAATTAAAGAAAACATGGAAGTTGAGTTTATTAGTCAGGGACTAGAATCCTCTACTTCTTGGCCAGTCGTACTACTTGTTGGGTCCATATAATCTTAAAGTCCAAGGGCAGCTTTATGAACTTCTACTCCTGAATATTATAGACTGACAAGTCCGTGTATGTGTTCTGGTATATCTTCCAGAATAACATTCCTTCCATGAGAGAATGTCTCGCAAGATTCCTTCGAGATGTCACTGATGAGATTGATCTCCGAATGTGGTTTGTGCGGATGTGTATTCACATCTCTCTTAGTTCCCAGCAAGAGACTGACCAGCAGAATATCCTGCACGTTATCAGCTCTATCGAAAGTTTCGTAATCTTGGGTGATTTGAGTACTTGGTGTTCTTCCCTTGACTTAGTACTATGACAAACACCGGTTCAATTTCGAGGTGCTCAGGCTGCCTGTCCAAAATTTCGGGAGAAAACTGTTGTTCTAGTCTTGTAAGTTTACAGTGGTGGTCGTAAAGATTTATGGTTATCAAATAGTCGTCACAAAAATTGATCGATTTCTCAGGTGTGCACGACAAGAGATATAATAAGTAATTTATGTTCTATGTGACAATTACGTGATTTCCATACAGCGACACTTTCCAAATATGACGACACCCAAAAATCATGCAACCTAACGGACACTCAGTGAATTCTGAACAACTCCAGTACGGAGTGGCTACAAAATACTGAGCAGTTGGTCGTCGAAATAAAATAGTACCGTACGTTTTTACCATGTTTATCACTTGGAGGGTATAAGCGTTATTCAAAGGGATTTTATTGAGACTAAAGACGGACCGAATTTTAATCTGTCAACTCCTTTGACAGTTAAAGATCATTAAATATGGCGAATTAAAGACAGTTAAGTGCTTTATTAATGCAGCTTGGAGCAGCATATGAGACCTGTCTTTAACCGTTTTATCGGGAATTTAAGTGAAGCAAGCACAAAGTGTGTAATATACCAAGGACTGATCACAATAACTCTATTACCAAATGATTGTGAAATAATCAACATAAAGAATCCAAACAGGTTTCTCGAATGCTTTGTCAGAATATTGGATCATCCAATTAAACTAAGGTGCACACGGAATGCACGGTCTCTTTTGAAGAAGTGAAATAGTTACATGGGAATAAATCTGGTATCTTCACGAATCATGATTACACTACTGAATCAGTGAGATGAAATAAAAGTATATTTTGAATATTAGCTGTCAGTTGAAATCGAGAAATGCATTTCATGTTCTTGGAGATTAGAAAGAATGAATGGAATTGCATGTATTAATGTTCCCATAAGAAATGAAATTCAGTATTGACTGCTTCAGATGCCTGAGTGTTGTCAATTGTATTAATTGTACTCAATGATATGTTAAGACTACTCATAAGTAAGTTAAGTACACAGATGTTCTATGTACGTTCTATTCAATAGGTTTTTAAGAGCATTATCATGTGTAGTTAATCAGAGAACACTGTGTGCTCATAATAATTGTAATAATATAATAAACACCCTATGAAAACAGATTTCTTGATTATAATAGAATTACATTCCAAAGTTGTCTGCAGGATGAATCTGTAGCGTGGCGTCGAGTCGAGATTGACTATGAACACCGCTACCAAAATACACGTGCCAAGAAAATCAGAAGGTGTAGGTTGAGCGTAACCAGATTTATTCGTTTGGCGATCTCGTGGTATCGAATGAATACCGAGATCATGCCAAGAAGGGTACAAGCGAAAGCAGGAGAATGGAGTACGTGCGAACAGTAGCAAAAACCGTGGAACAATGATGGAAGGTAATGGAAGCACAAAATGGCTATAATTAGCACAGTTAAACAAAAGCACATTAAAACAAACACTGGTACAATTGGTTATAATAATAATTGTTTTTATTAAACCAGCCGTGTTCTTGTGATAAATGTGAGTCACTACAGGAGCCCCCCGCTAGAAAAGGTTTACACTTTCGATAAATAGCGGTTTAAATCGTGGGACTGATCAGCTGACGAGCGATTGTAGGACGAACGAATTGGCGAACAGGAAAGTGATCTTTGATCGTCGAGTTGCCAACGAAGGTCGTTTTTGAAGAACGGTACCAGGAGCGATGTGCTGTACTTGTTGCTTGAGTTGGCATGCCACACGAGTGGTTTGTATCAAGAATCTGAAGATGGCGTTCGTAGGAAATGCGGACCAGAAACGCTGCAGAAGTAGGACGAAACCACGTTGAGCCAAAAGACCAGAAGCGACCGCAACGACCAAGTTCGAGACCAGGCGTATGCCAAACATTCTAACCAATATATCGACTGAGTGCGTTGACAAGAGCGTGGGTGATCAGGCCAGCTTTCACCAAAGTTGACTGAAGTCGACGGAACCGAACGGAGATGGTCGAAGGCGTGGGCTCAGGAAACAAAAAGAAAATCAAAAAAAGAAGAGTGTAGCATGCGTGTAGTATGGGAATAATCCTACACCGTATCTGTTGTTCACTGTGCGACTAGTCACGAAAGCGTACAGGTAACCGTACTCGGCGACCGGAACGTGAGACGGTAGTCTCGTTCGCGTCGCGTGAGCCTGCAAACTCATCCGAATTCAAGGGCGGCGTGGTCTGATGATCTGGACGTGAGACTGTCGTCTCGTCCGTAGACGGTGCAGATGACGCGTGCTGTTGGTTGGGACGTGAGAATGAGGTTTCAGGTGTATCTAGCGTGGAACCTGAAGATAGTTTGAGGATCCCGCTAGTAGATTTGATAGGTCTAGCATTGAATCTCAAGTTATCAGATAGGGCACTGTCATCGACGTGTGCTGGTTCGAGACGATCAATGTGGACGATCTCGACGCGGCCGTGTTGATCAACCTTGAAGGTCTTTTCGTGACGAGCGATCACGCGAATAGGGCCTTCGTAAGGTTGTTGCAAAGGTTTGCGTACCGAATCTACTCGTATGAAAACATGTGAACAGGTAGATAACTCTCGAGGGAGAGCGACCTGTCGATGTTGTATTCGAGTTGACACCGGAGACAGCGTTCGCATAAATGCAGACAGTCGATAGACGTAGTCTGATTTAGCAAAATCATGTCTGCTTCGTGGTGTGAAGAATTCCCCTGGCAGACGCAATGTCGTGCCGTATACTAGTTCAGCGGCGGAACATTGGATATCTGCTTGTAAGCTCGTTCTGATACCTAAAAGAACGAGCGGTAAGGTTTCGTACCAGTCGTCGTTTTCATGTGCTCGAAGAGCACTTTTAAGTTGACGGTGAAACCTTTCAACTAAACAATTTGAAGCTGGATGGTAGGCGGTAGTGCGCATGCGTTCCGTACCAAGCAGCCGAGTAAGTGATGAGAATAATGCGGACTCAAATTGTTGTCCTCAGTCAGTCGTGACAGTCAAGGGACAACCGTATAGAGGTATCCATCGTTGTACGAAGCGGTGAGCAACTGTCTCCGCCGTGATAGACGTGATGGGTATAGCTTCGAGCCATCTGGTGAAGCGGTCGATGCTTGGGCAGCGGCCATAGCAGGGAGATCGAGCACCGGCAGAGTAACTGCATTCGTTTGGATTCGTGATAGAGCATCGGCAACACAGTTCGACTTGCCTTTGATGTGACGAAGGTCTGTCGTGAACTGAGAGATATATTCCAAATGTCTGCACTCTCGTGGTGAGTAGCGGTCAGACTTGTATGCAAAGCATACGTTAATGGCTTATGGTCGGTTAATAAGATGAATTGACGTCCTTCTACTGCGTGCCGAAAGTGTTTGATGGCACAGTAGGCTGCTATCAGCTCGCGACCAAAAGCGCTATATTTCGTCTCCATGGAAGTAAGGCATCGTGAGAAAAACTCGAGGGGTTTCCAGCTACCGGAGATATTTTGTTGCATGACTGCTCCTATAACGACATCGGATGCATCAACCGCTATACTAAGCGTGGCTGATGGATCGGGATAGGCGAGAAGAGTGGCTTGCGCAAGAGCGGTTTTGATCTCTGTGAATGCAGTACGTGCAGAATCGTTCATTTCTAATCTGCGTGGGTTGTCGCGAAGTAGGTCGGTTAGTGGTCGTAATCGTTCTGCCGCGTGTGGGATGAAGCGACGGTAGAAGTTAACCAAACCGAGAAAAGCCTTCAGTTCCTTGAGTGAGGACGGAACGTTGTACTCCTTTATTGCTTGCACTTTGTCCTCACAAGGTAGAATATCCTTTTGGTTGATAACATGACCCAGAAATATTATTTCTCGTTTACCCAACTCGCATTTGTCTGGTTTAACTACTATTCCATTATCCGAAAAACGTTGGAATAATAGTGTAAGATGTTGATAATGTTCATCTACGTTTGATGATGCGATTAGCAGGTCATCAATATAGACGTGAACAAAATCTAGGTCTCGTACAATGCTATCGATAAACCTTTGAAACGTTTGAGCAGCATTCCGTAATCCAAATGGCATTCGTAGGAACTCAAACAAACCGAAAGGAGTCGTGATAGCAGTTTTTTCGATATCTTCAAGAGCGACTGGGATATGATGATATGCTCGCATCAGATCGATCTTGGAAAAGATAGTCGTGCCCTTGAACGATGCTGTGATGTCGTGTATGTGGGGAATGGGGTAGCCATCAACGCGCGTAACTATGTTTAGAGCTCGGTAGTCGCCGCATGGTCTCCAACTAACCCCATCTTTTTTGCGCACCATGTGAAGAGGAGAGGCCCATGGACTGTGAGACGGACGAATAATACCAGTAGCTAGTAAATTGTCAAACTCACGCTTAGCAAAAGCTAATTTGTCAGGTGCCAGTCGGCGAGGTCGTGCCGTGACTGGCGGTCCGCGGGTGACTGTGTGGTGTACCACACGAATGGTCACCGATGGAAGCTCCTCGAGTGGTTTAGTGAGTACTGGGAATTTCTCGAATAAAGCGTGGAATTTATCGTCACGCGAGTAAAAAGTGCCGAGGATTCGGTACGCGTTCATGTGGGCTTTACAGCCCATGAATTTACTGTTCGACGAAGTATCGATTAGCTGCAGCCTACGTGAATCGACAAGCAATTTATAGTGCTGTAGGAAATCGATACCTAGTATGGCTGTGGGAACATCAGCAATGATGAATGTCCAAAGATACCGTCGTCGGTTGCCCAGGTTGACCGCGAGTTGTCGTGTACCGTAGGTAGGAATGACCGAGCCATTCGCAGCGCGTAGTCGAAGCACTGTGGCTTGTGACTTGCTGCTATCTCGTGGTACGACAGAAACTTGGGCCCCAGTGTCTACCAAGAACCTAGCGTTTGTGCGGTAATCGTGCACATAGAATAGGCGATCAACCTGGGGTGAAGGGCCGGCGAGTAAGGCCATTTTTACTTGCCGGCGCTGGCGTTTCCCGCCTTGTATGAGCATGGTGCTCGACAACGGCGGGCGCCAGACCCGAAGGACCTATGGAACCAGCACCAACTGTCACTCGCTTCCGAAACCGCCTTTCGGCGTGGCTTGGAAGATTGTAATCATTTTTAATAGTTGAATTCATGAGTCGATTGAAGCTAAACCACTATTGAAAACCTGGAAGCACTGGACATTCGTTTCGTCCTAGTATGAAGTCTTGTTCAGTGCTTACAAGTTTTCACTAGTGGTCTAGTTTAAATTGATTCATGAATTCAACGATAAAAACTTCCTTCTTGTAATGTGTTAAAAAAAAAGAATTTTTGCCTGGAAATGGTAACCTAGTCTAGTCGATGTACATCATTTACTGTCTAATTTATTAGTTAAAGTGGAATAAAATTTTTTAAGGTATATGGCATACCATTCCCACTAACTTAGCTCTTCGTTATATCATAATTTATTACTTCTATTCAGTTATTCCCCATTTACTTTAATGGATCTATCTTAACCAACTTCATTCAATGTGTCAATTTCTTCTTTATTTACAAATAAAACATTTATCGTTTACCTAGATAGTTTGTATAACGATTGGTAAATTTTAAAAAAATGTGACGAAACAGAAACAATTTTGTTACCATGACTAAATACATTAGTATGATCAATGAAAGTCATTAAGTAATACAATGCAATATATCGATTCATCCAACATAATAAATTCATTATAGTTCATGTTTATTATATTCCAATCAATAATAAGAGATGAAACAATATAATTATTATCAATGAGCCATAGATCTATAAAATCTTTATGCTGGTTATCTTTTTGTACCATTTATCGATTTTCTTAATCCTTTATTAATTGATCTGTAACAACTTTTGATGATTCATTAAGAGAATTAATTAGAAACTGTTTCTTTATGTTATTATACATGAAACTTTAGAAAATGTTATCAATTTCATCTGTTGTTTTCGTATATGAATGAAGTTAAACACTAAAATAGTTCAATCTTTGTTTTTGTATGTTATTGTCGTTTCATATTGTGTATTTGAAATAAATTTCGAAGATGGGAACATATTACACATGTGGGTGTATGATATATATATATATATATATATATATATATATATATATATATATATATATATATATATATATATAAACTTGTTTACTGAGAAACATTCGGTGAACTTTATAGAAAAGTACATTCTCTCACTTTTTTCAAAACCATATTGATTATTTCTACCAATACTTTTGATTATTACAATTCCTCCTAGTTCTCTACTCGATAGCCCCCAAATGCCCTGGTACGGCCAAGAGTGGGGAGAGTCCGCTCTCCCCCTCGAAATGCTCTCACACGGCCACGCGTATATAGCCTCTGCCAGGGAAGTACTACTCACTGTCTTCTCGTGGCAGGGGTGTTGTTTACGAAAATGAGAGGACGAAAAGCGTATGTCCGGCGCTTTAACCGGATTCCAAACCAATGGTGCACATAGGCTCTAGTATCCTGAAGGGACAAATGGCGTATGAACCAATTGTTGGTCACCAACTACCATGGGAATGAATCTCCTTGTGTGGTTCACCTTCAGGTTGAAGGCTCCGGGTGTGACCCCCTAAGAAAACCACCTGCTTCGGTTCGGGCACCCGGGAAGTATCACAGCCCTCATATATATCAAATGAGATTTGTGTGGCGCATATATATTCGGTGCCCCTTTTTACCAATATCTATGTTATAAAATAATTAAATAAACAAATAGAACTACGCGATAATTAAGAATAAACAAAAAGTGTACTGTCTATTAGGATCATTTGTTTTGTTTCCTTTTTAAGCAAATTCCGCGATGGAAGACGAATTCTGAATTAATCAACATATCAATAATTTTTATGATGAGTTGGGTGATTGTCGAATTTTATGATTTAACATCACTAACTGATTTCAATTAGATAATCAGTGATAATAAAGAAGGACTAGACATCTATTTCGTTCTAGTATGGGACTGCTTAAAAGTGTCTTGAAATTTTAACTGATTATTGTAGATAAACAAATCATCCTCAAAATGACTCTTAGTCATAATATCTCCAACTATAATCTTGAATAGTATTGATTCAAACTGTAATATTAAAGATACACTTGATTGCCTACTCATGTATTCAAATAATTTAGAACCATTACGCATGTAAATCAAAAATATGCAGGTGTACGTTGTTCACATTAATAATGGTACTGAACTATGATGTTTGTTGATACAATTATCTATCATTTACATAGTTCCAAAGTGGTTATAGCAACTCACGTGCAATTGAGTTTGTTCTCATTTAAATCGGTTAAGCCCTTTTGTTAACTTATTTAGCGGACAAAGTCATCCGTACTATAACAACTTATTGTACCTTTATTATTGTTGTGCTTGTATGAAATATGTATGCTTGAACATTACTTACCGCCTACTCACATATTCATTCTGCTAGCTTTATAATTAGCTGCTTAATTGATTCGATGATCCATTCATTTCCAATATATATACATGTACATTTACACTACATTCTTGGTTCGCTGACACACTCATTCACCTCATTGCTTTGTGATCTGAGTTAGCTGCTAATGAAACTGTAGTCGCTGCTTCTCTTTGCCTTCTGATTTCAAACACCGTTGAGGATCATATGATAACGGTTACGAGGGGGATTGGCCAACGAAGCACAGCCACTACATGTTAAAGTACTTCTCAGCACCAGTTTCATTACTTAGTGAGTATATTTAAAAAGGACTTGACACTTGAATCGTCTAGTCAACCAGAAAAGTTTGAGGAAATATGAGTTTATATTATTAATTGTCAAAAATGCTAGAATACAAGCCAAAGAGTGGTAAATATATTTTAAACACAGATGAATGATGACTAGCATTGGAAGTCAAAACCCACGTTTCATCCTATTTGGGACTTTTCAGTTGGATTTATCTGCATTTCAGAGTCGATGTTCATTTCGAAACTCGAACCCATTACTATGCACTTCAAACGACATCGCTTTATCCACTAACCTACTGAGTTCAGATAGCCACTAACTTGGGCACTATGGTGGATTTTAACTCATAAATATTTCTTGTTTGGAACATCACATTGCACAAGTCAGTGGCTATTTGGACTAAAAGTCTAAGTGGATAACGCGATGGAATGTGAAACAAAAAGTACTGTCTCTGAATCCCAGTGTGAACAACGACTCTGGGACGCAGTTACATCCGGCTGACAAGTCTCGAATAGAATGATACAATAAACACCATCCATTTCAGCTTGAAAATGCTTGTGACTGTTTAGCAATACCGAGGTCATCTATACTGGGTACATATATACCAAAAGAGATTGATCACTAGCAATCAAAACAGCAATTGGGAGATCCGAAAAGTGTATTTATTAAGAATAGTAATTAGCCCTCTTACTTTATGATGAATCAAATGAAAAAAATGATTCAATAAGTTTTCTGACATACATAAATGAATCAAAAGTTTATGTAGGTACAAATTTGAAATAGTTTTAACAGTTTGTTACATTTGTGTCCAGAATTCGTATATATATATATATATATATATATATATATATATATATATATATATATATATATATATATATATATATATATATATATATATTTCGTGCGTATTGTGCGGTAGCTCAATGGATTTTCTCTTCCGTTCTTGTCTTCCTGTTCAAGTAGTCAGTTCGGGGTTAAAGTGTAACATGTTATGTATCAGTATCAGATCTCGAGCCCCTTTCATCATAATATTAATCACATCTCTAAATGGATTAATCGAAGGCAGAGATCAATAAATTGTATTGATGGATTATTTTGTATTTCAACAGCGAAAAAGTTAATCGGATGACGCAACTAAAGACACGAAAATTGTAGACGAGAATCTGTTTAACACCCACAATAAATCAAAATGATATCTGAATACACTAATTTTTATGTGACTTAGCTACAATCATATTTACAGTCAAATTTGTACAAATTGAACTGAAGTATTTAACACCGGTTAATCAATAATTTAATAAATGAACAGATATTTAGTGTCCTAAAATTAAACAACTGAAACTATAAGATATAATTAATTTACTCAGTTATATAATTATTCCTTCTTAGAAAGTAGTTACACATAACAGACCATTGAAAAAAGTTAGTTTTGTGTGTTAATCGCTCTCAAATCAATTAAGTCCTAACTCATCATACCAATCTACTTCAAAGAAACCAGTTTCAATCTATGTATAATTATTTCCGCATGCAAACAAGTCATCTCTAACTACATATATTAGTTTACTTATATGTACGAAGCGGGTATAAAGGATGCGCAGAAATGAGATCATTTAAATTTCTTACTGAATATATTTCAAAATATCTACTACTACTTAGTGACCAAATCAGTAATCAAAATTTGATTGAGCGCCAACTTCTGGACACGGGACCTTAGAAAACCATATTGAAAATGGTAAATAAACAGTGAATTCCTACACTCTTTAAACCGTTGGGGAATATAACGATTAGAAGGTTAGAACCTGATGTTCTTCTTTCTAAAAAAAACAATGATCAATTTTTACTTGCTTTGATAACAGAAGTGAATAATGTAAATTAATTCTTTTCTATTTTAATTATGATGGCAACTCCGTCAGCACAACATAGACATGTTCTTATTTCACATATTCTCAGAACGTCTGTTATATTTAAATTAAAATTTTCTTTAAATTTTCAGAACTATCACTTTAATTTAAACTACATTATGATTTTATCTTACGAAAATTTTTCTATCATTTAATGGACAGTTCATTTTCTGCTTTCGAAGTAAGCTATTATATATACCGATTTCGAATGTACTATGAAGTTATTAGCTTACATGTAGCTCAGAAAAATGCTATCATATACAGTGTATTAATTACATTCTGTAAAATAATTTCTTAATTTGTTCAGTGGAATTTGTTAATTGGTTGATATAGTCATTAACAGCTGGATCAATGTATGAATTATGGTTGAAATATTCTTAAGTTTATAGAAATTACTGAGACTAGTAGTTTGTAAAGATTGTTCATTGGAAAGGTAATTGCCATCACATGTCGGATTATTGTAAATAATTATTGAAAACTTCACGTCCTACTAGAGTCATATGTTTACTAGTAACTAACTTCAAAAAGTCTTTATTGATAAACTGTGATTGATGAAGTGTAATTATGTTACAAGTGAGACACGTATAACCAATACCAATGCATAGTGGTCACACAATATCACTTTAGATGTCAAAATAATGGTCGTCGGTTCACACTGTCTAGTAATAACATATCGGGACGTAATATCTAATCGGGACTCTCTG